CCTTTTAATAAATTTCGACCATCTTATTGTAGATTAATTTGGTGCTATTAATGGTATTATTTTTATCGTTTATATTTTTTTTTATGATTTTAGTGGTAATAGTTGCTTTTAATCTGACAAAATTTAAAAACTATGGCTAGTTAAATTTAAATTCTGTAAAAAAATTTAAGAATTTTTCGTCTGATCTACTGGTTAATATTAAAAACAGATTTTTTATTAAACATTTAATTTCAGGTAAATAAATACACAAAATTCGATAATTTTTCAATATATTAACGCATTTTTTTTACATCGAAAGTACAAAAAAATAAAATCTGTTTCCAACATAACCGAGTAAAGATGCCAAAGAACAGAATTAATATCAAACCATTCTATAGGTAGTGAAAATATTGCCAGACTTTTCTAGAATAATTCTACGGACGTCGGGCTGCGGATAGAGGCTGTGCGGCGTCGTGATGACCCGATTCACTGCTCTGACGCAAAACGCGAATTCGCAGTAGCCACCCCCGACCGGCCCCGCCAACCGTTAAAAAATCAATAGCACATCCTGCTTACGGGGCATGCAGGTCCAAGTACCAGCCACCAGAAATGGCCAAGTCTGCCGAAAGAAAACTGCGCGTGCCTGTACAAAATGCCTTTGAATTGTTAAAAATCATTTAGTTATGCGTGTGTCCACTTTTATTCTTATTTCATATCATACGTCGCACATTCTCCCTACACTTTTGCACACAACTAAGTGCCATCGGTAGAGCCACCAATACAGCATGATTATATTATTTGTCTCCGTCGGCACCAGCTCCTTACTTTTTTGCTCCAAACGCAATTCCAGCGACATACCGGCTGACAAGCCTCAGCGGTGTCCCCGATGTAAACTGTCTTTGGTCACCATATAAATTCAATAAGAAGAAATAAATTTAGAAAATCATAAATGATTTTATGATCTACATTAAAGTTGAAAGTTTCAAACAGCTTGTTTACAATAGATTTTTGAAAATGAATTAAAGAGTTTAGTTAAAATACAAATAGTAATATGACGTACAATTAAAATGTGTTTATTTATTTGCAATTCCTAAACAACTACATTTATTGTTATTGATTGGTGAACTGAATTCAGAGGGTATCCAAAATCGTATGGTACTTAAATATGTCTAGATGCGTCCCTTTGTCGAGTACTACATAGTCTATATGGTATTATTGCCGATAATATTGTAAAGAATACTTTTTTAATGTAGGTACTTTAATACTGTCTTTTAAATACTCTAGGATTATATTTTAAAAAATATCATAAATTATGGTGCACTTCGCAAACACGCGTACACATATTTTTAGGATACCTGAATCTTCTTATATTTGTTATAATTGAGGGGTGACATTTCAAAACGTACTATTTCCAAAATTTCAATAATAAAGTTATACATAATTTTTTACAAAAAAAAAATGTTAAAAATGAGGAATTGAAGGGCGTGGTCAAATTGTCAAAACATACTATTTTTTTATGATTAATTGAATTAAAAAATCGGTAATTGTGACATAACGTTATATTTCCATGACCAATATTAGGTCAAAACGAACTACGAGTAGTTACAAATGGCATCAAGTTCCCATGATAAATATTTGTTTGGTTTTTTTAAAATGTAAATTAATATGTATAAAAATCCTATATAAATTATGTCAAAAAGTACTACTTGTTGGAAATAGTACGTTTTGGCATGATTTACTTCACATAATTATGTTTTAATGAACTTAAACTTAATTTTAAATATAAAAAAATATCATAAATAGGTTAAAGTTTTTTATGCATTTTTAGAATATTTCAGGTTTTTGCTATGACTTTCTAATAACCTACAACAGAAAATACAAATAGTACGTTTTGAAATTACCCTCAGTCATAACATTATATAGTATAATATATACGATGTATGTGTATATGTATATGTCTTATACTAATTTATTTTAATTACACTTTAACTGATACCTATAGTGTGAAAATTGCCACCTTTAGGTATAAGAGCGTATTATACGTTGAGTGGGTGTTTAATAATGATAACTGTCTGTAAACATGTTATTTTTGTTTGGGACAAAATTACATAGTTTAGACTATATTAGGTATATACAATATATTGATATGGAACGAATATAGCGTCTCTTATATTAATTTATTTTAATTACACTTTGAATGATATCTCCAGTGAGGGAAATTGCTACCTTTAGGTATAAGAACATATACTTTGAGCAGGAGCTTAATAATTATTAGTTTAGATAAAAAGCTTATTTTACATTACTTACTATAGTATAACCACTATTGTATCACTTCTACAACAATGAACACTCATGTTGAGACTAAGACATTTCCACGACCGGCTTATAAATTGCTTTTAACGACTGCGTTTGCTATAAATACTGATCATCCATAAAATATTTATGTTCAGCATGTAGTGTACGCTGGAAGTTTTAATTTGTTTTTGGTTAGTATATCACTATATTTGATTAGTTATTATAACTTCAACAAGCACGATTAGCAGTGTAAAATTATTAATCAACTATAGAATCAAATTTATTATTATTTTATACCCAATTTGTACTCAAATTCAAAATTAATTATTTATAATATATATACATACAACATTACTTTATCAAATACAATACTACCTTCTAAGAGATTCTAATTAACTTCTCAAATAAAATAATACACGTATAATATGCAGAATTTCATTCCATTAAAAAAATGTTTTCATAACCGTAACATTCGATGATACCTCTTATTTCTAGACTGAGCAGCTATCTTCTAGATATAAACCATTTTATTTACACATAACAATAATATTCATATTTTGTATACTAAACCTTAGTCGATTAAAGCGTTTTAAAATTTATGTTGTTTGGTGTGAGATATACGCTTTGTTTATATTTTCAAATACTATAAAAACGTCGTAATCGTCCAAACGCGACATATATATCAATAAATATTTTTGACAGATATTTATTGTATGATGAGATTAAGTAAGGTAGAAGACCCCATTTTGTCAACCTTCTTGTTGCATCTATTAATTTTATTCAGTGCTCGGATTTAACTGTGACAGTATATAGTATATACATTATACATACACTGTTCATGATTTTCAATGGTCGTTGTCTAATTTACTTGGCTCATTTTTTGATGTAATAACCTATTTTGTACTAATTATTTACCGTTTATTTTTTGTTTTCAACAGCTACTTTTTGCTCTAACGTGTAACCACACGAATAAAGAAAAAAAAATGTAGTAATTCAATAATAATGTGGTGTTTTTCATTTAAGCTAAAAGTTTTAATCAGCTTGTTAAAAATTGTTTAATTGTGAACACTAGTATTCGGATATAAGTAAAATGCCACCAACAACCCACAATAAATGAAAAGTTATTATTTCTTTTGGAAAAAAAAATATTAATATTTTGTTGATGTTTTACTGAATTGGTATACCTGTAGTACTATACCATAACCTATCCAATATGGTCAAAATAATATTATAACTTTTTTATATTCTTTGCATTTTTATTCTTGTATCGATAGTTAAAACAACATATTTTAATTAAATAGTCAGATGTGTGAAAATAGTTACGTGACAGGTAGGCTATACAGCTGTTATATTTAATTATCTATATAATAACTTAATATATAATATTATATATATCGATATTTAAATACAGTATTATTAACACAGATATCTACAGAGTGGAAAATTGCTACCTTGAGATATAAGAGCATATTATATTTTAAATGGGTGTAAAAATAATAACTAGCGTAGGTAAAAATATTACTCTACAAAACATACCATTGTTGTATCACTTCTACAACAATGAACACGCAGGTCATTTCAACAACAACGAACTCTCATGTTGAGACTAAGGGATTTCCACGACCAGCTTATAAATTGCTTTTATCGACCGCGTTTGCTATAAATACTGATCATCCATACAGTACTTATGTAACGCATGTAGTGTGCGCTGGAAGTTTTAATTTATTTTTGGTTCGTACAATAGTATATATTATTAGTTATTTTAATTTCAATAAGTTAGCAATGTAAAAATACATTTTTTTTTTGTGAGAATAAACTTTAAATTATATTATATTTAATGTCGACTGTTTGACATCCAGTTTTAATAAAATATAAACAAAACAAATAATTGAAAAAAATTGTCTTGATTAGTTGTTTTCAGGGGCACTTTTGAAGTTGATGGCTGAAAAAAACGTATTATCATTAGATATGGGCTTGGAACTGATCCTTTACGCGGTTGTTGGATTAATTCAATTTTTGATGATAATGCCATTATTTTTTAATAAAAGCGCTATTGCATTTACTTTTTGGTCAATGCAAACCACATTTGTTGACTGGTCCTTAAAAAGAAGAATTTACCCTAATAATTGCTATGACAAAAACAAAAAATATTTATCATATTCAATTATGGGCACAATAGCTTGCCTAATATGTATTACGATTGGCCCTGTGTTATCAGCAATACATGATATTGGTAAAGTACCATTGGATCATAGGTCTCATTGGATCATTCACTGGCCGAGCGTAAGTGCTAATTTTAAAAATTGTGTGTTATAAAGTCTTATTAAAACAGGCATACTGTATTACTTTTAGGTAATACATATGGAGAGTTTTTGGATTTATGGGTTTATTTTTACACTACAAGTAATCTCTTCTACTTATACACTTGTGTCTATTACGTTGTACAATATTTACATGATTGTATTTCTAACGGAATTAAAAGAACAATTTAATTTACTTACAAGTGGAATAAGGGAAGCGTTTAATTACAGAATGGATCAACATTTTCAAGACTACTTCGTCGATTGTGTTCGTCACCATCAGACACTTATAAAGTAAAAGCAAATTTTATATTTGTATGATATTTTTTTTTTTATTGCGATATTAGTACTAAATTATCATTCAGTTTTATTGTATCATGAAATTTAACAAAATGTTTACGATTTTATTAAATCTAGGGCTTTAGACGAATTTAAGAAATTTTACAAATGGATACTCTTAGGTGAAATAGTTGCAGTACAATTCATATTTTCAATAGTGGTATATTGCCTTTTAAAAGTAAATAGTTCTGTTAGTTATAATATTTATAAGTTGATAGTTAGTATTTTTTGTTGTTTTAACAACCGATTGATTTTATTTAGGTGGACGCTTCTTTTGGATATAAATTGAAATTCATTGGAATATTAGTGTTTAGGTTTGCGATGGTTTGGTTTCAATGTACTTTAGGAGAAGATATTATACATTTGGTATATGAAAATACTTTCAATAATTGTTTTTTAAAACGTTTAAGACGACATCATACTTTATTTATTAAGGAGTTATTTAGGCAATTTTTTAAATATTAATTTAAAGGTTAAGTATTCCGACCATTTTTAAGGAGTTTTGTATAGGCAATATTTAAGAAAAAATTGGTTTTTATACATTTTGACCATGCCAATTAATTTACCGGTTAATTTTTAAAAGCATCATGGTATTATTTTTTATTTAAATAATTTTGTCTATGAGTAAAAGCCATTTTAGTTAATATAGTAGTACATTTTTTGTCCATCGCACAGGCTGAACCAGTGATCCGATAAGTAATCTAAAAACAGATTTGAATTTGGCATGAAGTTTACTTGAGATCGGTCAGCGTACTTTTTTGATATCTTATTCTTACTACGCATAAAACACGTTTGAACATTTTATAAAGTTTCAAAATTCAAATTCAAATTTGGAGAGGGTTAAAATTAAAAATTGAAAAAAACGCTCTGACCGATCTCAAGTAAACATCATAAAAAATTCATATCTGTTTTTTGATTGCTAATCGGATCACTGGTTAGACCTGTGCGATGGACAAAAAAAGATGTGTTTTGGCTGAAAAGAACGGTCGGTATCCAGGGGCCTTAAACTGTGACATGTAATTATTAGTTCAGTCATTAGCACTCTTTTTTAGTAATTGGTGTGAAACTATATTTTCTTGTTTTACAGCATAGCAGCCTATCTACTGAGTTATATGCCATGACGTGGTACCATATGCCTAACCAATACAAGAAAATGATAATTATTATGTTTCAACGCACACAAAAAGATTTAACTATAAATTTAGCTATATTTCAAAATAAAGTAGCATCAAGAATTATGTTTTTAGTAATTATTAAACAGTTTTACACGTTTTTAAATGTATTATTGAATATATGATTCAAATTTAGAAACTAGTTAAAATTATATGTATTATTAGTTATTATTGTTTAACTAGTAAACTGTTTTAAAATATAAGTATTGTTAACTTATCTGCTGTTACTAATCTAAAAGAATATCTACATCAAATATATATTTTTTTTAAACCATAAATATGTATGTACCTACAGGTGCTCTTAAGATTTAAACGTATTATATCATGTATCAACAACCTTAAATGTAAGAAAAAAAACTTGTTTTAAAACAAATTAATAAGCAGAAAGAATATTATAATATTATTACTAATATACAATGGATAAAATATACTCTACACCATATTATATTTTATAATATACTTTTTTTTTAATTTACGCTATTATTATATTAAATTTCAACTATAAATTACATACTTACATCATATGTGATAAGTCTGTTATCATTTTCAAAACATTGCAGTTGTTATATTTCTCTTGCGACGTTAGTAATTGTTTTCCTAAGTTAAATGTGTACGTTTTTTAGGAATTACTATAAAACTTCTATCAATATTATGATTACTCAACCGTACACAATTGAATTGAGCAGAACGATGATGGGAAAAGTGCGAAACGTATTGTTTGGTCGTTGAAAGATCAACAGAAAACTGCGTCGGTAAGAGTATGGCAAAGAACTGTATAAATATTCTTCAATAGGAGTACAGGGTGTAATGCAACTGACAAGACAAGGACATGTTTATCAGCGTTCTATGTCTTAATTGAACACAAGGTAAAAAGCACATTAATGTTAAAATATAAAACTTCTTCTGTTGGCAGAAATCGATGAAAAAATAGCTGTTGCATGTCATTAAACATGTGATGCACAATAAAAAGCAAACTAGTTTGCTTTCTAGCTAGACAAACCGAGGACTTTAAAACGTTTTAATTGAAAAAAAACATTTGAATTAAAAATAATTTTCTTATGTTTTAACTAGGTATACATAATTATAATACACAATATTAAATAATAAAATATTAATTCTCCGTTTGAAAGAATGACGCAAACATATGATGAAATTGCGATAATAATGTATTAAGTACGACAGGTATTTATTAAAAAAACATTTATAGAACGCGGTTTGGTTGTACCTTTTTATTTAACGCCTGTAACTAGAATATTAATATTTTATACATTGGGTAATATTTATTATGCCAAGATAAGAGGATTGCAGATCTATACAGAATACAAACATTTAAATGTCTTAGAATGTCTTTAAAAAAATGGTGTCTACTATTCTATACTAGATCCTTTATATTACTATATACTAATAGATATGGTATACAGTATACACATGTATATCATATAATATTATAGGCTATAGCTGTACTGTATTGAATTACATTTTATTAAAACTACTAATTTTTTTTTTTTTTTGTCATTTGGTAGTAGCAATAGCAGTGTACTCTAAATGTACTATTTCTTATCGAAAAAATAGAAAATAGCCTTATTCGCAAGTCATCCGAGACTAGTTATGACGCATGGTTTTAAAAAATACCCCAAACGAGTTAAGTGGACGCTGTGATAAAATACTTAATAAGGATGTGGTAGTAGGGGAGGGATATGATAGAAACCAATACCAAATGGTACAGTGTTGGCTTCGATGTTATCGAAAAACGTAAAATGTATAACCGAAATTCTGTACAAGGGAAATATATATATAACACCATTTTCTATAATATTTCATTGTAATTATACCTTAATTCATGTAAATATAGGATTTATTTAATTATTTCTACATCTGAAAACATTATTTTCATAAACCTAGCATTATGGTTTTTGATAATAAATTGCGCCAAAATTGTTGATGGTCAGTTATATCACTTATTGTATTGGTATTATTTATCTCAAAACCTTACTAACTTTTATACATTTTATTTATCTGTTTTTATTTCTTATAATTAATTAAAATAAAGTAGTTTATACATTTTTTAAAAGCAAAACCTGTAAATTAATATTTGTGATAAAATAATACTGTATAACTTTAACTTTGAAGGCCTGATAAAGTTAAATGTATTTATATTAGTTTTTATTTATTCCAATGAAAAATTTTATAAATAAATTGTTATTATATTTTAAAGAACTTAAACTTAATTTTGAATATAAAAAAATATCATATAATAAATAGGTTAACGTTTTTTGTATGCATTTATAAAATATTTCATATTTTTGCTATGACTTTCTAATAAATTACAACAGAAAATCGATGTTTCTGAAAAAAGCAAAAAATACCAATAGTACCTGCGTTTTGAAAAGTCACCCTCAACCATAAGTCATAACATTATATGATATAATATATTATACGATGTGTGTGAATGTGTTTATGTATATATATATATATATATATATATATATATATATAATATTGATATTTAAATGAATATACCATGTCTCATATTAATTTTTTTTAATTATACTTTAACTAATACTTATTGTGTGGAAAATTGCCACCTTTAGGTATAAGAGCATATTATTATACTTTGAGTGGGTGTTTAATAATGATAAGTGCATGTAAACGTGTTATTTTTGTTTGGGACGAAATTACATAGTTTAGACTATATTAGGTATATACAATAATATATTAATATGGAACGAATATGGCGTCTCTTATATTAATTTATTTTAATTACACTTTGAATGATATCTCCAGTGAGGGAAATTGCTACCTTTAGTTATAAGAACATATACTTTGAGCAGGTGTTTAATAATTATTAGTTAAGATAAAAGTCTTATTTGACATTACTTACTATAGTATAACCACTATTGTATCACTTCTACAACAATGAACACTCATGTTGAGACTAAGACATTTCCACGACCGGCTTATAAATTGCTTTTATCGACTGCGTTTGCTATAAATACTGATCATCCATACAATATTTATGTTCAGCATGTAGTGTACGCTGGAAGTTTTAATTTGTTTTTGGTTAGTATATCACTATATTTGATTAGTTATTATAACTTCAACAAGCACGATTAGCAGTGTAAAATTATTACTCAACTATAGAATCAAATTTATTATTATTTTATACCCAATTTGTACTCAAATTAAAATTAATTATTTATTAAGTCATGAAAAAGTTGTTATCAAAAGGCTCGAAACAGCAACCAGATAAACTATTCAAATTACTAATTTAAAATGTTTTAGTATAATTAAAGAAAAATTTTGTCTCAATTACTACAAATGGCTGGGAAAATGCCATTTTTTATTTCACATAATATACATACTATACTTGATAATATGTCAGTAACAATAATGAAATTGAATCACAGCATTTCAAGTATAATTCATTATAATCGTCTTCTTCAACCACTTTGAATCCAGCTGTCAATAAAGAGTCGTTATTTTTTATAATAACTATTATTTGTTATCTTAATTGGAAAGAACACGACGACATTAACTTCGTTTATATGAATTCTATTATTTAAGTTTTTTGATACTAATAAAAAACAACAAAAAGTTCAAACATATATATTTTAAACTTATACTTCATCATTTTTATTTCTGAACAACTACTTAATAAGCTATGAAACAAGCAAATATTTTGAACAATGTAAACAACAATTAAAAATATTGTCATGTAAGAAATTATCCGGTTTTAAATAGTTTACATTAACTATACAATATTATATTTTAATAGTTACATAGTTAGACTAATGTTTTAATTAGATGTTTATAGGTGCACTCTTAAAGTTGACGGATGAAAAAAACCTGTTATCATTAGACATGGGTTTAGAATTGACTATTTACGCAGTTGTTGGATTATCTCAATCTCTGATAATAGTGTCATTATTTTTTAATAAAAGCGCTATTGCATTTACTTTTCGTTCAATGCAAACAACATTTATCGACTGGTCGTTGAAAAGAAGAGTTAACCCTGATAAATCTTATGGCAAAAACAAAAATATTTTGATATGCATAATCTTAGGCATGCTAGCTTGCCTAATATGTATTACGATTGGTCCTGTGTTATCAGCAATACATGATATTGGTAATGTACCATTAGATCATAGGTCTCATTGGATCATTCACTGGCCGAGCGTAAGTACAAATTCCAAAAATGGTTTGACAAAAATAAGTCTAATTGAAACTAATATACTAAACTACTTTTTAGGTAATAAATATAAGACATTTTAGGAGTTACGGGCTTATTCTTACACTCCAAATAATCTCTTCTATTTACATGATGCTATCTATTACATTGTACAATATTTACATGATTGTATTTCTAACGGAATTAAAAGAACAATTTAATTTACTTACATGTGGAATAAGGGAAGCGTTTAATTACAGAATGGATCAACATTTTCAAGATTACTTCGTCGATTGTGTTCGTCACCACCAGACACTTATAAAGTAAAAGCAAATTTTATATTTGTAAGATAATTCCATTTTTTATTGAAATATAAGTAATAAATTATCATTTAGTTTTATGTATCATGAAATATAAAAAGAACAAATTTAAAAAACTGTTTACGATTTTATTAAATCTAGGGCTTTAAACGAATTTAAGAAATTTTACAAATGGATACTCTTTGGTGAAATAGTTACGATGCGAATAGTATTTGCAATGGTGGTATATTGCCTTTTAAAAGTAAGCAGTAAAGTTAGTTATAGTTTATAACATTTTTTTATTTCTAGATAATTGAAATTTTAAAAACTCTTTTATTTATATAGGTAGATGCTTCTTTTGGATATAAACTGAAATTCATTGGAGTATTTGTATTTAGGATTTCCGTGGTTTGGATTCAATGTACTTTAGGAGAAGATATGATACATTTGGTATATGCAAATTTTCAATAATAGTTTTTGTTTAATGTTTAACGTGTTGTTTACACTATTCTGTTGGTATATATAACAATAATGTTTGAAAAATTCAGGAAATAT